TGCCTGCATGCCTGTGTGCCTGCCTGCATGCATGTGTGCCTGCGTGCGTGCCTGCATGCCGTGTGCCTGCATGTGTGTGTGCATGCCTACCTACTTGTGTGTGTGCATGTGTGCTTGTGTGTGTGTGTGCATGCGTGCCTGTGTGTGTGTGTGTGTTTTAGATTTTCCCCACAACAGCCCCAATTCCACCCAGGTGAATAGATTCAGAATCAAATCAGTCTTTGTCCTATCGCAGACAACGAGAGCATTTGAGATGTCCAACATATTAAAGCAATTTTATAATTAGACAGTTTTTTGGTTGTCCTTGGGGTACCCCTTGCATTGTTCTTGCAGCTCCCCTTTTACTGTGCCTCTTACGCACAAGGCTGTGCACGTTGATTCTTTTTGAGCGGCAGCTGCCCACATCCCCGTGTGCCTTCGCAGCCCACTTGCACGTTATTTCAGGAGGCAGAGTAAAAGGGAAGGTATGCTCCTGTGCATCTCTTCAGAGATTCATACTCCTGTTCATTTCACTTCAGATCTTCAGCTTTGTATCCGTCCATCTTCATACTTCCGTTCATTTCATTTCTGATCGTGTGTGTGTGTGTGTGTGTGTGTGTGTGTGTGTGTGTGTGTGTGTGTGTGTGTTATCAAAGAACCCCAAACTCTCTCCTCATTTCATCCACAAATCATCCACAAACCATCCATAAAACAAGGTATAGATTGGCGATATGATAGAAGATGCAAGGTTGGCCACGTTTGTGCGGTTAAGCGCTGAGTGCCCACACACCCGTCTGCCGCCGGAGCAGCACACTTGCACAAATATATATATCAATATATGTATACACACAGGCCTTCATCTATCTAAGTCCACTTGGGCTCAATACCTTGTAGTGTGAGGTTTGGGCTTCCGTGTATGTACATATTTGTTGCAGAAGAGCCCAACCTCACACTACCGAACCCCATGCCTTCATATATCTGAAGTCCAGTTGGGCCTACCGTCTTCACCCGAATAAAACGCCCGGTCATTATCGCTGCATCTGGACCGAATGTTGTGCGGCTATAATGACCGGGCGTTCTATTCGGGTGAAGACGGTAGGTGCATCAATGCACATCTATGAGCCACGAAGATGGGAGTAAACTAAGCGTTACGGGTTGGGCCTATCCCCTCAGGGTCGAACCTAACGCCTGACACTGAATGGAACGGACTACGCCCCTCTACCAACCAACCAGGGAGGGGGGGAGGGCAAGCTGACTATCTCAGCTAGTGAAACCGCAGCACGCCACAGGGGGCCATGGGAACCTGAATTGAAGACTTGGGGAATTGAACCCACGACCTCCTGAATACAGCTTTGGTGCTCTGCCCACTGAGATAGGCCGGGCGTTCAGTTCTGTTGTTCTGCGTAGCCACGCTTTCCTATTCTGATCATTTGGCAAACACGCTTTCCTATTCTGGTCAGTTGGCAAATACACTTTCCTATTCTGGTCAGTTGGGAAGCACGCTTTCCTATTCTGGTCAGTTGGGAAGCACGCTTTCCTATTCTGGTCAGTTGGGAAGCACGCTTTCNTGGGAAGCACGCTTTCCTATTCTGGTCAGTTGGGAAGCACGCTTTCCTATTCTGGTCAATTGGGAAGCACGCTTTCCTATTCTGGTCAGTTGGGACAAGAAGTAGGAGCCGGCAATGATTTCAAAGACATTTGAGAAAGCCTGCTCTCCTATTCGGGCGAAACAATACAGCTGTCTGTTCTAATGAAGCGACCTATCGCCAAAGAGCCAGGACATCAATGCTGACAGCATTTGCATGAGCATTCCCCTCTGCTTAGATACCCTCACCTCCATAGCACAAACACTGGCACTGGGACAACTGTAGCAGAAACAATGTGTAAGAAGAGAGGACGTGAGGAGAGAGGAGCACATGAGGCAATAGGTAAGGAGATGAGTACACAAGAAAATACAGAGATATGAACATATAAGGAGGGGCCAAGTGAAGATAATGATGCATCAATCATTGCCCTTCTCTGAGAGGATGGAAGGGTGGGTCATGACTACTTTGGCGGGGGGTATTCTTTTTTCGCCTTTTTCCCCCCCCTTTTTTTCTTCTACCACCATGCGTATAGCAAAAGGAGACAGAAACAAAGATCAAAGACCCAAGCTACTATCCAGCAGAAAAAAAGAAACAAAACTTACAAAAGAGAAACAAAAGAACAAAAAAAAAAAAACAAAAAAAAAACAAGAAAATGCAATGAAGAATCTGAGAAGATTAGCATGGCATCTACTCAGGGATGAGATACATAAATCCAGAAATGTTCCAAATACGACAAAACCACAAGAAAGAAAGAAAACGCAATGATCCTCAATTTCACACGGCTTCCGTCACTCTTAGTCCACCAAATTAATATGCACACGCAATGGCTCACACGTAGAGATGTAATATGCACACGCAATGGCTCACACGTAGAGATGTACTTCACACAGGCTGAACACACTGCAGGGTTACACCACCAGTACATGCGAAAAAGGAGATTGCACCTCTCCTAAAAACTAGGAGGCTGGACCCGGTCTCCAGTCTAGCCTAATCTGGCTAATGGCCCCAGCATACCGGGTTGAGATGTGGAGGGATTCCTGGCCTCCTCTGGTTTTGATTTCAGTGGTAGTTTTAATGCTGAAAAAAAAAAAAAAAAAAAAAAAAAAAGGCCTATTTTAACTTCAGAAAAAAAAACAAAAAAAAACAAAAAAAAACTTGCAGGCCATTTCGGACCTCCACACCAGAAGGGGGAGGAGCGTGAGCGTGTTCTCAACGACTTGCCGTTGGACTATGAACCAGACTGATGCTCCCCAGAATGGACAAGGAGCCGGAACCATAAGGTTCCGTCTTTTTGTGAAAAAAAAAAAAAAAAAAAAAAAAAAAACTAGGAGGCCATGCACCGGCAATTCATTTTATCGACAGTCCATGGCCTCCGAATTTAAGGAGAGCCTCAATCTGCTTCTCCGGATATATTGGTGCTTTAACTCAAAAGTTTTCGATGCATCAAGTTGTACATACGTGTCCAGGCAGCTATGGCAGCCAGCAGGCAACACGCACCTGTCTCTCTCCCTCAACCTAACGTACACACACATACACACACAGAGGCCTCTCTCTCTCTCTCTCTCTCTCTCTCTCTCTCTCTCT